ATCCCTAGATGGCAGCTCAAATGTGTTCCTTTACGTTGTTTCAGGAAATTACACATTACAGCTTCGGATTAAAGTAGGAAATATATCACAACATAAGTTGTATACAGATACCGTGTAATTACTAATAGGCTAAGCCTGTTTGTCTCTAGTTAAGCGCAAAACTACACGGTGGGCTATCTTTTGCTGTGCCCACCACAAATATCGAAACACGATTTTGAGCATTATTACCGTCAGACTTATCGCTGTGCCACTGTGGGGGAGGGGTAATAGGCAAAGGACACACATAAATAATTTGAAAAAAATATTAATGATTTTGTTATATACATTAACATTATAAGCAGTTGGTTATCCTTCAGACATTTCTAGAACTTGTTTCATGCCCCCAGTGGCACAGCTGTATGTCTATGGACTTACAACGCTAGAATCCGGGTTTCGATACCCGTTGTGGGCAGAGCACAGATAGCCCATGGTGTAGCTTTGTGCATAATTACAAACAAACAAACTTGTTTCACTTATTACACGTTTTTTATCTTGATAAGTATAAAGTGTGACTTTCTAATTTACATGTGTATGAAAATAGCTAATACTCGAAACCGAATATGAATATATGCTGTGAAGTCTGAAAACTACAAAACATTAACTGTAAATTAACAAACAAGGTATAAACATAGTGAAGTGGTTTTATTTTGGGGAACACACTACATTTCGACAGAACATTGGCATGTCTTCTTCTGTCCAAGATTCACCTGGTCCGGCATGGCCAGGTGGTGGTTAGAGCACTCGACTCGCAATCTGCGGGTTCGAATCCACGTCACACCAAACATGCTCGCTCTTTCAGCCGTGGGGGGGCGTTATAATGTGACCGTCAATCCCACTATTCGTTGGTAAAAGAGTGGGTGTTGAGGACTAGCTGCCTTCCCTCTAGTCTTACACTGCTAAATTAGGGACGGCTAGCGCAGATGGCCCTCGTGTAGCTTTGCGCGAAATCTATAACAAACAAACAAGATTGACCAATGTTCTGTCGAAACATGTAGCGTGTTCCCAAAAATATAACCACTTCATTATGCTCGTTATAAACCAGTGTATCAACTTACTAATAGCTAAAGGATGGCATGTTGAATCTCTGAAGTTAACTTTGAGACGAAGGCTACAAATGTTGCTGGTTGTTCTGTAGCGTGTTATTATTTCTTTGACTGTTTGTGTGCCAAGACCTTCCCGATGTTTCTTAAGGAGTCGGTTTATTTTACTTCTCTATATTTTTATTTGTTTATGATTAAACACAGAGCCACACGAAGGACTATGTGTACTCTGCCCGTCACGGGTATCGAAACTCGGATTCTAGCGTTGCAAGTCCGCCACCGGTTAGTTGAACTTGATCTTTGTATAGTGGATCTCACAGCTTTCTGGACTATTATCTTTGTTTCTGAGTATATTTGAATTTCGTTAAAAATATTTCCACTGTATGATATTAAATTTTCTTTTGGTAGTTTGTAAACTAATACTTTACTAGTAGCATACGTAGTTCAATGCTGTTAGAGAATACGGATTACAGACCATTCTTAAAGTGAAGGGCAGTTAGTAAAAAAAATCTCATTTTAACATTCTCTGCAAACCCGTAAATAGCAAAAAAAAATTATTGTAATGATGCCAGTAAAAGAAAACTTGTAGAGCTGGCAACACCAATGTTGGCTCCCGAAAAATTGTAGAGTCGAGGTCCCAAAAGTGGTTGTTATGGGACTGATAAAAACCCATATATATATATATAAGCACTGATGTTTCAACGATTAAAATCTCTAAGGATGCCTAGTATACTGTCATCAGTCATCTTGACTTGTTGGCTTTAGAGCAAAGCCAAATTGAGGTATTTGCTATATCCATCGCTTGGAATCAACCCCCAGATTTTAGCGTTGTAATTCCGTAAAGTTACCACTGTCCCACCAGGGGGACAAGAGTCATGTCGGCAACCAAAAGAAAGAATTCATAACTTAAAGATTTAAACTAGAATACTATATTTAGAACACACATGACCTCAAGACAGCTTCTTCAGCTGTAATTAAAGCTAAAGTTGCTGGTAGATATGAGTAAGCTTTTTACTTATGTTAATTTTTTTTATATACCTTTCCACGTTAAATTGCTATAACGATTTACCTACAATTTAT